GTACGTATAAAACATGTATAAAGAAAACAGATGTAAGTATCTATAACGATGCAAACAATTTGATTTTCCCGACGAAAGAACGAAAGGGAAGCGTCGTCTAAGGGGAGGGACGACAATGTTATAAATTGCAAGATCTAAGAAGAAAATTTCATAAGAGTATTATCGTGATTCCAGTTAACGAAGTCGCAAAAGGACGAGGTATAGAATTTCCTTTGTCAGAATCCTGTTTAAACAACGCGAGACGACGAGAAACGAAAGTTGATCGAAAGCGTTCTGAAGGGAAACTATGAAAATCGTCGAAGGCCCTTTGAGCGCAAGAAAAAAAAAAAAGAAGAAGAAGAAGAAGAAGAATCACGAGGGTCGAAGAGAGGTCTTTGGAAAAAAAAAAAAAAAGTATAAGATGCGTAGCGAAAACGCTAATGTTTTATGTATACGTTCGACGTATACGTTCAGAATGGTGATTCCTTCATAAATATTTGATAAGCTTACTGTAATGAAAAACGTTTTCCAGATATACATAGTTGCGCTTTTTCATGATCTCTCGTCAATTAAGAGACGAATATTTAAATTATGTTTTATCATCTTCTAATCTGGCAATCGATTATTTAAATTTCTTTCTTTTCGAACATCCATGAGAAACGTCACGATTATGGAATTATTTGAAATTTTCTAGCAAATTTCTAGTTATTGTTATACAGAGAATATGAATGATATGAAGACGAAGAGAAAGTTTGAAGATAAATCTTGGAATAGAGTTAATTGTAAGTGAGAGGTTGTAATAAATATTGGATATTTTTGAACGAATCCTTTAGAGAAGCGATATATAATGAAATATAATGTTGAATTTAATCGAAGATTTTTATATTTTTTAATGATAGTAAATATTTTTATTCGTTGAATAAAGAACCCGATGGAAAAGTAATACAAGTACATTCTTTTTGAAGAAAAAAAAAATACGTAATACATAAATATTTTGAAAGAAAAGTGTACAAGTATTTTTTAATGGCAGTAGCAACGCAAAGATATTTTTATTACATCTTTTACTTTACTTTATCCATCTCTCGGACTCTAAACACTTCGACTCATTAAAATACGAAAATATAAAAGAACACGTTCTAATATCTTATAATTAAATATTAATATCAATCTTTCGTTATTAATTGAATCGTACCTTTAAAAATCACTTGAAAATTTGAACGACAAGAAGGATATACTCGAAATAATCAGAACGTTTTTAATAAAAAAGAACGTTTAACAGATATTCATAAATCCTTAAGTAAGTTTACGCTCTCATCCACTTTTCCTAATTAATCGAATCACATCGTAAAATAGTTTACATTGTCGATTAAATATAATCCATCCTGTTAACTCGAACGAAGGAGGAGGGATATAATCAGTTGAAATATTAATCGCGTTACGAGGACGCAATTAACGATGATCAAGAAGGGGGAGGGGGAGGGGGGAAGTTTAACGCTCGACACGATCTTCCTAACGAAAAGTAATCGCGGCTTGGAAACAGTACTCGACGATGGAGTAAGTCGGTTCCGTTTCGTGAGAAGGTAAATTAATTTGCATTTAAATGAAGGCACGTAAAAACGCCGGATAACGCCGCGTGAATGGTGGACAAAGGGAAAAAGACCCAATTAATTACTGCAGAGCCTTCTTTACTCAGAAAAGTATATATTCTACGGATACCTCCTCTTTGTTTCGTTCCATTTCTAACGAAACTTATTACTTTTGACCGCGTTGAAACTACTGTATACATTTCAAAATTCAAAAAAACAAAGGAGCATTAAATAGGGGGGAAAAAGATCCAATTAATTACTACAGAGACTGAAAAATATATTCTTAAGGATACCTCTCCATTGCTTAATTTTCTTCTGTGCACGTTTCAAAATTTCAAGAAAAAAAAGGAATAAAATTTTGGGAAAATTTTAAAAAAGGGAAATATCCAATTAATACAATCAAATACAAAGTCTCTTTTCCCTAACTATACGTATTTCATAGATAGATTAAACCATTTTATTCAATCTCGTAATTGAATTATCTTGTGCACATTTCAAAATTCGAGAAGAAATTTTAAATGCAAATTTTTTGGTAGTTTCTCGCAGATTAAGGAACGAAAAAAAAAAAAAAGAAAATATTTTTTTTTTCCATCGATCACAGTTAAAAGCGAAGGGTGTAAGGGATATAAGGGTAAAATTCGATACGCGAACGCTTTCGCTGTTCGTTGGACTAAGTGAAACGATGCCGGGGCAGGAGTAATAAGAAGCACTTAGCCAAGAACGTGTTCCTATTTCGTAATGGAGCCAGAATTCTATCTCTTTCGTCGTTGTCGGCCTCCGCGTCCACGGTAATTCGCGCAACGATGTTAAATCGATTTTGTAAAGCAGCAATTCATTCCGATTGCACTCTTCCATTACAGCCCAGGGTGATTTGTAAGTAACGCGAATCGTGATTGCAACGATCTCTTCGATTCCTTCTCCATTTCCCTTCTATATTTCCAATAATCTATTTCTAGTTTATCCTTACCGATTTTATTGTTACTCCGTTTCTACATCCATATTTTCCTTTTTGATTATCCTATATATATATATATGCTTCGATTAATTATTGAATCGAACGAGCTCGATAACACGTGGAAAACGAAGGTTTTTTTTTACGGAAGAGCTCTTGCAAATTGCCGATATCGCGCAATATCACGTACTGTTGATGTTAAAATATGCAGAAAGATATAATACCGTTAATTGAAAACGAATCTTCCGTTAATACGTTAGGTTAAACGCGAAAATTATCGGAATTTTAGTATCTCCTATTTGACCACGTATCGTGTTGAGGAAATAAAAAGAACAGAAAGAATCCGTTATATATTCAACTTCGATTTTTTTCTTGTCGAGTTTCCAATTCTTGTGAGACGAAATAAATCGGAATAAAATACGTGGTATATCTCGGTGTTTATCTAACGAATATTTAGCAATATGTGTGACTCACTGCATGTGGAGTATAGGGACTGATTTGTCGGAGAAGAGCACGACAGGTCGATCGAAGCGTTCGTTGGGGCCGCAAACTCGTCCACCTCCTTCGAGCTGCAGCCAACCACCCTCGCATCTGCAATAAAAAGACGATACGTTATTAAGTAATCTTAATTATTTTATAAAAACGATAAAAATTTCAATTCCCTTCCTTCTCTGATCTTTGATATCTTTTCCATTGTCGTTTATTATTATTATTTCTTTTTCTCTCTCTTTCTCTTTTCGTTGAATAACGCGAGAGAATTTGGAGAATGGAAAAAGTGATTTAATCTCTGGTTTAAAATAGCGGGTTTAAAATAATCTTAGAATCTGGAATGGAAACAAATATCGAGTTGGGAAATTTAATAGCCGCGAGATGTATCGACATGGTATTGGCAAGTTTCAAGATCAGCAGAATAGACAGTAATAGTTCTTGGGTCGTACGAGTCGATACCAATCACGTATGACCGTAGTGGTTCGATTTGTAGAATATTGACGATCGCATTGGTTATTGGACCAAACACATTTTTGATTCGTCTCTCCCTTTTCCTATCTATATTTCACTATAATCTCGTCGAGATTATTTGAAAAAAAAAAAAAAAAAAAAAAA